AAAAAAAAAACAATAAAAAACAAACAAACAAGGGAATCAAAAAACCAGGGGAACCAAGAGTGCATGTGCATGGAGAATAAAAAAGCTACAAAAGCAAAAAACTGCATAAAAACAATACATGGGAAAGTGCCAGCTTGTTTGTAAGACTATGAGTGTATACTGTATGTGTACATGTTTCACAGCGTACTGCATGTGCATCAGAAGCTACATTTCTTTTTGTAGTATGTTTTCCACAATACCTTAATGCCATGAACACGTTTGTCTAGTTTCTCCAAAGGAATGACAGAGTCAAAGGGGAGGGATCTTAAACCTGGGCTCACATATAACCAGAAACAAATCTTTACAGCATATCACTCTGGAAGAAACAAAAAGCTTCTAGCATTGAGAGAACTGAATACCTTTCAGAGGACATTATTTTACCGTGACACAAGGTAAACTAATAATAATATAGAAAACGACTACTGATGTGATGATTCTGCTTTGTGATGCTTGTAACATGTAGAGAAATAATGCAGAAACTATTCATCTGAGAAATAAAATTTGAGTTGAAATATTCAAAAGACGTAATGCAATATTATTATATAACATATTATTACACACTTGAAATACGGTGGAGGATTCATTTCCATTGCATTGTAATTGCCTTGTGCTGCTGACAGTGACAATGCACGGAATATTATTTTACAAAATCATAAATCACTGTTGTTTACTTCTGTCTATCAGATATATGTCAGTGGCTTACAGTAAAACAACTTTAACATTTCACATCTATTTTAGAACTCAAGCAACAACACCAGGATGTCCAACAACAAGAAAACACGTAAGTCTAAAATCTCTTAGGAAAAGTGAGATAATCAAGGAACTTAAAGCCTAAAAGGAATTGAGCACTATTTAATGCTAATCAGCTTTAACTATGTTTCTGCAGAAGCAACTGCAAAATTGTACAATGAACCAGTGATGGAGGAACTGTACACTGGATACCTGCTCAAGTCCCCCCCTCAAACGGCCCTGACTAAAACCGCTGTACGTCTCATATTGCAATTCAGCCTGAAACTGAAATATCTGCAGTCTGTCAAAGACAGGTCCTCTGTTTGTGAATCTTAGCAGTTTTATATATCTGTCACAGAACTCATGGAAGCGTCGTTTCTTTGTGCTCTCCAAAACGGGTGAAGACTACCAGCTGACATATCATGCAAACAACGAAAAGAGAGACAAGCCTCTGGGAGAGATAGACATTTCTAAGTGAGGAAAAGACTGTCTCATAAATAAATACATAAAGTATTTTCACACTATAATGAGAACGTCTTTCTGTTTTAAAGGATCAGCTTGGTGTTCACTAGCCCTGAGGCACATCAGAAGTGGGGCTGGATACAGAAACAATTCAAGTGTTCGCCATCCTTTGTGCTGTTCTTAAAGGTGGACGACGACACACCAAAACAAGCTAGAGAATATTTCCTCATTGGAGAAAACAGGTTTGCCACCATGCATATCTGAGCATATCTCTCATTTCCATCACAACATAGTGCCATGAAAGTAGTGTTAAAGGTTTTCTGGTGTTTTCAGGGATGAAGTGGATGGTTGGCTCAATGCCTTAGTCAAGGTAATGACGACCCAGAAATCACAAAATAAACTGCGACAGGTAAACAAACCTTCTCTCTCCCTCTCTATCTTTACATATATGTATATCCAAACTATCAGTCATATGCTTGAGCACCTACCAATACTTACTACCATTGCCTACATTTGAGAATAATAAAAAACATAAAAGGAAATATGGCAATTATGCAGTAACCAAAAAAAACTATTATTTTTGATCAGAGAGTTTTAACATCACAAGAAACAAAAAATTCAGTCAAGTGTACCAAATCTTTTGAGAGGTTGTGAATGCTCACATGCTTTACCTTTTTCCTCAGGACAAGAGATTTAGATCAAAGTCTGTACCTGTGAACTGTTTAGAACCAAAGGACGACAGATGGTCAGCATTTGAATTAACTTCTCCGCAACAATACGATCATAATGAAAATCCTCGCAAATTCAGCGAACCTCTAGTACCAGTAACACGCAAGGTTTTACACATTTAAACACAGTTTCTTTCACATGCATATGACAAAATACACAAATAAAAGTCAGACCTCTATCTGGCAGATTCCAGTTATTGAGGAAAAAGATGAGAAGGACGGGAAGCAGGATGAACCTCCAGTGGACAGCAGTGAATACATGACCATGGGATCAGTGTAAGTGTTTGAGAGCACTTTTCCCTTTAACTAGCCTCGTGGAATGCACTCTGTCGATAAAACACAATTTTCAGAGGCACAGTTTAATTTAAATGTTCTGTGGTCTTTTCTGATTAGACAAATGGTGTTGGAAGGTGACCAACAGGAGGATGACACTGCATGCAAACAGAAAAAGTAATTTTGAAGTCTTCGATTCATCGATTATTCACCTCATGAGATTGCACTATTGTGTCAGTTATGCAAGATATGATAAATATATGAGTTGTCAGTGTGTTACTGTTTGCCACATTTTAATGCGTGTTCACTAAGTTCCTTTCGCTTCATGGCTCAGATGCAACATATATGTGATTTTTTTTATATTTAAACACTACAAAACAACACTGTTTCTTTTCTTAGCATCGATTAGCAGTCTATTTTGCTGTTTAGAGAATTTCAGTATTTCCTTCTTGCTGACCAGGTATGGTTTTGGATGACTGTAAAAAAGGATGTGGTCTATGGTGGTTTGACCTTTATTCAAATTAAACAATCAAATCAAATGGTAACATTTTAGCAACAGACAATTCTCTGTATTCATATGTCAGTTTTACCAAGATCATGACAGTTGTGGAAAAGCTACTAGTGCATTCTTCTGCTTAATACACTTAGGACTGACACCATCTCTGTTTGACTATCTGATTTTTTTTTTTACCCCAGTGAAGACCACAATCATTCTAAGCAATCAATCAGCTTCAGTGGAAAGTGTGCCTCTACCGAGTTGGACAACAGGTGATTTTTATCATTTCAAACAGGGCTGTAACCACCATATTCAGACTAGTTGTTGATCGATACAGGTTTTTTTTAGTGGCTGATACTTAAATGTTCTAATTATTATTTGTGGTCCGCACTAATCTTAAATATGTGGTTACATCCTTTATTTCACTACTGGAAATACCATTAGAAGGGTGCTTCTGTCTTAAAGAAAACAACTATTGAGTGTATCAATGTGTCAGTCGTTGAGTAAAATTATATCCTTTCCTAATTAAAATCCTCACATATATTTAGCAGTGTGGTTATGATAAATGTGGCATTTGTATTTTTCTGCTTTGTAGTGAAACACACACATATGGTGAGAAGGAGATCTGCGTTAGTCAAAACGAGCTGAAAAACAGACTGATCTTGACACAGGAAGAAGGCAAACCATGGTACAACTCTACAACAGATAATTCATGACAGGTCTTTACTAGAATTAATGTTAATATGAGTAGAAATGAACTACTTACAATGCATCATCTTCTCCAGTGTGTCTCAGTGTCGTCAGATTCAGGACTCAAGGGGGGATCAGATCCTGGCCACAGACACAGTACAAGATATTCAGAAATGCTTAAAAAGACTGAGCAAGGACGAGGTAAGAGGATAAATCACAGTAAAAGAATAGTCTTTTTTCCCCATCACTGTATTCAGAGACCTATAATTAAAGTTACTGAAATTACTTGCAGGCAAAACTCCTAGTTCAGCGGTACCCAGGCCTCTTTATGAACCCTGGCCGCCACACTGAGGACATGAAACAAAATCTAATGCAAATTCTCGCATCGCCATCAAAATTTTAGAAATGTTGTACACATGTCTAATTTTAGTTCAAAGGGTCATTTGCTCATACAGGAGGAAAACAAGGCGCTACTGAGTAACAGAAGAGGCAATCCGGTTCTCCAAAGTACCTTATTCTCTTTTGCATGTACATTAATCATCTAAATATGTATTTAAAAAATGTCACATGTACATTAAATTACATGAGTGATAGTGAGTACTATATTTATTTGTTTGAAGAACAAGAGTCAAGTATTACTTCATAACAAGTATGAGTTACTCCACAGTGAAAAACTAGTTTTACACTGTTTAACTGTTCAAATATTTTAAAGGGGTCCTATTATGCTTTTTCACTTTTTCAACTTTAGTTAGTCTGTAATGTTGCTGTTTGAGCATAAAAAAGATCTGCAAAGTTACAAAGCTCAAAATCCACTTCAAAAGGAGATATTTTATTTATTAGAAATCACTTTTCAAAAACTACAACGAACGACTCGTTTGGACTACAATGCATATTTTCCGGGATTTGTGATATCACAAATACCGACGAATAAGACGAGACCTGTTGAGCTGCACTAGAGAAAGCAACGAGTGTTATCATCACTATGTCGGAGACACGCTAGCTTTCCCAAGGCAGACAAACTTAGAGCGATTAGTTACAATCATCCGGGTTTAAATCACACTCAAATTGATTTGATATTGACACAATATTTACACTGAAGCTGGCAGGCGGCTATGGTAAGGGGCATGACATTTCCCAACCAGGCGCCGAGTGCTGCCAATCACAACACACACTGGCCCAGCTAACCAATCACAGCACATTTCGTATTTCAGAAGGCGGGCCTTCATTTGATACAGGAACTATTCGAGCCGTTCATGCCAGACGGGGGAAAGAGGTGTTGTAATTAATGTAAAATATGTGAAAAATAATGTGTTTTTCGAACAACCCAGTATGAGAGCCTGTTCTAGTACACCCCCAAAACAAAATCAAGACTTTGTAAAGAGCATAATAGGACCCCTTTAAAGCAGCACTTGTTTTGAACAGTATGAGCATTTTATGTATTATGTATGTAAATAAAACATTTCTGTCACTGTGTATTCTTTATTTGTTTTGCAATGCATGTAACCAGTGACACACTGCTCCCAATCATTATGCATTGGTTTAAATGTTAGTCACCCAACATGAAGATTTCTGAACAACAGTAAAAATAGCCTGCTTAAAATATAGATGAATTATGCTTTAGAAAAGCATGCACACATTGTTACACTGTGAAGTGTTATTAAACTTTAAAATGTAACTGTTTCTGCCTTTTTTGTATTTTGCTGTGTGAATGTGATTTTTTAAAAATGCACAAAATACATTAATTGAATAAAATACAATTAATAATTCACATCCATTGGTTATACCTCATAACTCCCTCTATTGTGTCTACAACCAAACTCATGATGAATAGATTAACTCAAATGTTGTTGTTTGCTACCCTGTATTTATATATATTTTAGAATTAAGAACTTATGGATCTAACCAGAAACTCCACCTACCCTTCCCATCACAGCCAAGAACAAAGACTTGTAGCTCCCTTCTAAACAACCGCATTGGCTCTGAATAAAACCAGTTTTTCCGCATTATGTAAAAAGCGCAAGACAACAGATTTTTTACAAGTGCATTCTGAAACGCTGAAATTCAAGATGAACAATAAGATGTTGCTGACTAGAAACTTCTCTTCCCATCATGGCCAAGAACAAAAGATGTCTACCTATGAAAGGCGAAAGAAAGAAATCATGAGGACTTAGGTTAGATTCTTTTAGTTGTGCTTGATTAGGAATGGAGCTAAATTCTGCAGAACAATGGTCACTGGCATGCAGTAAGACAACACTTGCATTTCATATATAATTTAGCATAGAAGCGACAGCATCCAATTTAACAGCAAATATGATTCAGACGTGTCTAGAATCTATTGAGATGAACTTAAAATGTAAACTATAACAAGCTCTATACTATACCTCTTTATACAGAACATCAGATGCATTTTACAGCCATGTATAAATGTCCAATTTAGAGAAAATTGGAAGTTGAACCATTTATTCATCTATGAGATTTCTAGATTAAACTTGTCTTGCTCTGGGTCAGACATGGCAATGGGTCTGCAGAAACCTTTTCTATCGCAGTAGGTTATTTCTAATTGGAGAAAACAGGTTGGACAGGATTTTTCTGACTTTATCCAAAAAACTTTACTGGAAGGCAAAATGTAAACAAAAAAATGCATTCTGAAATATTTGTACAAGTTTAAATAATTTGGTTTTATATTATGTTCACACTTTTGCAGTGAGATTAGATTTATGCAGCTGGTGATTCATTCAGGAAAACATGAGTTAATGTATGATACACATGAGTAAAGATATTATAATGGGCTAATCTACAGTATCACTTCATGTTAAAGTTACCCCTGTTGGAGATGCATTCTTAGCAAAGCAGTGTTTTCATTCCATACTACTATAAACCAGCTTCAAAAGCATTTCAGTGCCCTTCTCAAAGCTCTGATGAATCATGGGCTGAAAAATCACCTACTTCCATTATGATATAAAAACAACTTAATTTAAACAACCAATCTTTCATTTATCCATAGAAATTGAGGTTAGTAAAATACACAAATCTTGACAAATAATATGTTGCTAATGCTAATACATTTTCAGCATTCATTTTACATTTATTTGCAGTCACCATGGCCAGATTATCCAATGGGCCCATGCGCATTGCAAATAGCTAATAGGGCAAATAGCTCACCATGTTGGCAGAGGCTATTTACACTAGCTCTTCCCACCAATGTCTGGCGGGCACAGGCAATATGACTAAAGATGCATAATTCACAACATGCTTAGTGGCGTAGGACATAAAGAGCATGGCTCTATGTTTTGACACAATCAACCAGAGTTAGTCCAAATATGGACTAACCCAACTTTTGGGTTAAAAATGTAATAAAAAAATTTAACCGAACAGCTGGGTTAGTCCACATTTGACCCAAAGTTGGGTTGAAACAACCCAGCATTTTTTAGAGTGTAATGATATTCTACAATATTACTGTTTATACTCTGTTTTGACCAAATAAATGCAGCCTTAGTGAGCAAAAGAGACTTCTTTCAAAAACATTTAAAAAATCATACCATTCCTAAACTTTTGTGTCACTCTGGATTCCTGAAAAATGTACATGCTTAGTAAGATGATTCATAATGCAAAAAGGTGTTTCCTCATTCTCACTCATTGCTCCCGTCAGTGACATCAGACATTTTTGGAAATCCCCCCTTGCCCTAAGATAGAACTGATTGTCCACTGTAATTTTTAGCACTCAACATTATCACTATTACCAGTCGTTTCTTCCACATATTTTCCTCCTGCACATTTTTGTTTATATTATACTAATCATATTATAACCATAATTAGACTTTCATTGTCCAGCTTATCACCCATCCAAGCTGCATTAGTCCAGTCTTGCCTGACTAGTCTTGATTGCGCTGATCACCCTTGCCTTACAGTATAAGGACTTTGCATGTTTAGCATACCAGAGGAGATCTGCCATCTTTAGCCTGATGACTGATCTCGTGTTTTTTTTTTCTATGGAGAAGAGTTAACAGAGAGCTCACATCAGGTGTAATAGGCCTCCATGGGTCTACAGTGAATAGGTCTCTCTAGTGGTGCTTTATAAAACTGCACTGAGTTGTTGAAAATGAGTTACTGTCTTTTGCTGTCAGTAAAGAAATGTGTATTTTGAAAAGAATAATTAAATACACATCTAACAATAGTATTTCTCATCTCATTAAGAGTACATGTACCGTATACACTGTTGTGTGACAACACTTTAGTCACTTTTGCAAATGCAGTGCAGAAACGTATTGGCATTTTTAGATCTTAGTTCCTCAAGTTAAACACATCCCCAGAAAAAAACACTCAAATAAAACAAACATGCAATCTACTTGTGCACACTGTATGTTTTAGGTACAGTATAAGCTGATTCTGACGGAGAGTGATCAATTAATCTTTGGTTTATTGTCGTAGTGCAAGCTGTTTCTTATGAATCAGAATGAGCTTTATGGCCAGGTATGTTTACACATACGAGGAATTTGTTTTCGTGACAGAAGCTTCCACAGTGTAACAGAATGACAGTGACAGAACAAAAAAAATGGTTTATGGTTTACTTATAAGACGTAAAATCAAGGCACTCATTATCACTTATCTAAGACCCTTGATGAATCTCAATGTCCCAATAATTAATCTCATTTAATGTCTGTGAGGATAGTATTATGGACTATTATTTAACATTTTAAATATACTCTCAAATTAATTGGCCTTAAAATGTACTCAAAGTTATAGAGGGCCAAAATTACATGAGCCATGTAATATTATGAATTTACATATCTGATATAATCAAAAATGACGAAAAAACAGATCATACATGCACCTTTCACACAGAAGTTCAAATGTGGTGGAATTTTACTAGAATCTACATTTGGAAGGAATTTGTGAAAATAACCACTGCCATCTGAGATATCAAGGAAAAGAATCAACATGCTTCACTTTTGTCGTGTTTTCAAGTCATTGCCAGTAAGGACCTGGTAGTTTCTGTGTCCAAATTTTCCGTAATCCTAAAGTGTTTGCAGCAAAGGGAGGACACATAACCAGAAACTCCACCTACTTCAGCAACAATAGCAGTCTACCTTCAAAATCATGACATGCATATTTGTGAAAACAGGACAGCAGTACAGAGGACACTGTTTTTACTGCGACACACACAGTAGTTAAGGTAATCCATTTATAATGTATTGCAGATCTACTGATCCAATGACTAAACTGATCTGATTTATTTGAGCACATTAAGAGATGATGGCTACACTTATATTTTATTTTTGGCAATATGCATCTTTCTTCGGTTTAAACAATTAGACTGAAAATCACCCAGTGCAAATAAGTCCGTAACTATTTGACTATGAAACAGGAGGTTTGGTCATGTGCTTTCAGTAAAAAGCTTTGTTTTGGTTTTCCAAATATTAATATTCCTAAATAGGATCATCATAATGAGCTGACTCATGCAGAATTGTACAATTAAAGAGATCATCCAAATGAAAATTCTGTCATCATTTACTCACCTTCATACCATTTCAAACCTGTATGACTTGTTCTTTTCTGTGGAACACAAAAGAAGATATTTTAAAGAATGTGTCAACTGTTTGTTTGTTTTTTTCATACAATGAAATTCAACAGGGTCCAAACCAACGTTAGATCCCACTGAATTCTATGGACAAAAAAAAATACTGAGACATTTTTCAAAATATCTTCTTTTGTGTTCCACAGATTACAGCATACAGGTTTGGAATGACATGAGGTGAATAAATGTAAATCAAAACATTTTCATTTTGGGTGAGCAATCCCTTTAAGGTCTGGGAATATATATATTTTTTAACTTCATTAATACATTTGTGTAAAATACAGTACTGTGGCTTTTTCTATGTTGTATATTCTCAAGCACCAATAATTGCTTAAGTATTATCTGATGTGTGTAATAAAGACATTACTTACAACACATATCATGTCTGTTTTAGCAGAGATTTAACATCATCCAAATGAACAGCAGAGGTAAATCAGGTATGTCTGAAATCTATTTTAAACAATACAGACTGACTGGAAACAGAATAGCCAGAGTTGAGAGAACTATTACAGATTGTGATGAATGGTTAAATTCTGGTTAATCGTATGCATTCCTCTGCAACAGATTCAAATGCTTCATGTCACGATGGGGTGGAGGAAGTGTGCACAGGTTTTCTATTAAAGTCCCCTCCTTCTAGACAGTTAAGAACTATGGTAAAACATCTGGATTTCCTACACAGAAATATCAACAGTTTATATGTATTATCTATGTATTTCATCTAAGATGTTTCATAATTCATTGCAGAAATCATGGAAGCGCCGCTTCTTTGTGCTTTCAAAGACAAATGACAGCAGCCATGAGCTAAAATACTACAAATCCACTGAGAGAGACAAACCTATAAAATCCATAGAAGCTTCCACGTAAGGCGAAAGCTACCGATTACTTTTCACATAAACAAAAAGGGTTAGTAATATGCCGAGATAATTATTTTTTCTATGTAGCATCACAATGCTGCAGCTGAACCCTGAAGCAAGCCCAGTTTTTGAATGGATCTGTCAAACCTTCAAGTGCTCTCAGTACTCTGTGCTCTTCATGAAAACTGAAAATCCAGGAGCCAAGGTCCAAAGAGATTTTTTCTTCATTGGAGACACCAGGTTTGCTATGATTACCATTGCTTGACCATAATTCCAATACTTAGCAAAAAGCTGCACTGAAAAAAAGAATTTACGCAAATAACGGGAAAAATAAATAAAGGCTATTCCTTCTAGTGCTAATATATAGAATCTGTTGTTTTCAGGGAGGAGGTGGAGAGATGGTTCAATGTTTTATTCAGGGCTATAAAGGTGAGACATTCCACTTTTTGCCTATGAATTTAATAGCTTTAATTGAGCATGTTCTCTTTGAATAAATCATTAAAAATAAATATATATTTAATTGTTATATTAAATATTTAAAATGTTTAAATATATTATAAGTACTTTTTTTTAATAATGTTTAACAATTATCAATGCAATTTGAAGGGTCTTATAAAGTTCATTTTTCAAACTTTGTTTATAGAACAACAAATTTGAGCCACAAACTGAACCTCAGATCACGACTGAATCCAATTCTAATGACCAAAACCCCTGTGAGACACAAGAGGTAATTCATCAACAATGCTTTCACATGCTTGTTTGTGACTCTGTTCTCCTAACTTTGCCTGAGTTGTACTGCTCAATAATTACAGACTAAAGTTGATGGTCAACCTCCACTGCCTCCAAGGAAGAAGTCAGCATCAAAAGATGTTACTGCTCAATGTAGACAACCACCCAAAAGCAGCTCATCTGCAACACCAGTATGGCACATTTAAACCCACACTCTCACTAATAAAAACCAAACACTTGCATCATAATTCAGTATAACCACATAAAAAAACACATCCCTTTGTTTGATGTATTCAGTTGTATGAAAAAGAGGAACCGCTGGATGAGAATGCAGTGGAAAGTAATGAGGACATGTCATCAGGGTATGACAAACTCTCATTTACCTCAATTTAACCTGTTAGACAATGCTTGTTTGTTTACCATTAAAAAAAGGTAACATTAATCTTTAGATTTGAATCCAATTGTATCCTTATTGAATATACAGAAGGTGGTTTAACAGACAAATTTCTTCTTTGATTTTGACCTCATTTTATGCCCATCTTTTGCGATTTAATGTTGCAGTGTTTGAAAGCTTATTTGTAGTAATCAAGTATCATTTTGCAAAGTTTTTATGAATGTACTCTGTGCTCACATGAGTTTACTTATTGTTAGAGGCCTAATTTTATAGACTCACAGGCTTTGAGCAAATGATAATTATTTGCTTTTCTGTCTAGGGAGAGCGTGACTGGTACATCTGAAGGCAGTATGTTGGATTGCGTCACAAAAGCCTTCAATAATATTAAGACACCACAAACGTCCATGGAGTCAGATGGGCAAAGGTAAAAACAACTGACAACTGATTTCTAATTAATAATGCATACTGCTATTTGTTACATTATTATGAATATGAATAAAAAGCTTGGTGTAAAAATATTTACCTCAGCTGTCACAATCATCATGCATCACGCTTTTCAAAAGTATCCAGCACTGATCTTGCCCAAGTAGTTATAGTAGTCTAGAACTATTTTTAGAACCTTATACCTGAGACTTGAATCATAATTTTTTAAATATATTTTGTAGTGTCTTAAATAGTTAATGTTACCTTAATTTTTTTTAAATCAGCACCACCATAATGGATAATACCTTATTGTCATCCCAGGATTTATGGAATTCAAAAAACCTGTACTAATAATAAAAACTCAATGGAAACTGTGCAAGAGGTGATTTATGCCTTATTATGTCAAAAATACATGTTTAGTACATCTGTAGAAGGCCAATTCAATAGAAAACAATACCCTAAAGTGCGGAAATTAGTTGTCTAACAACTATAGGGTTATTCTGGTTAATTGTGGTTTTGGAATTTAGTTTCATTTTGAGTTACATGTTTCATAGTTACATGTTTTCCATTCTTCAGTGAAACGCACACCCTTGTCGAGAAGGAAGTCTGCATAAGTCATCTTGATGCAAACAGCTTGGTTATTACAGAGGAGGAGGGAAAACCATGGTACGATTCTCAAAGATAAATAGCAAATTGTTATTACTCCAAAAATACTCTATCTACTGGAAATGTTGGGCTGAGCCCAGAAGCAACATCTGGTTCATGCAAGTTTGTTTGAATTAAATTATTTTTCTGAGCCACTGGTGTAACCTCAAAATCAAAAAGCGAGACTACACTGGTTCAGCCCAAAATGGTGAAAATATCACAGACTACAAATACTACCTCTTATGTTTAGTTTAGCCTCCACGTTTCTTTTCCTCTCTAGTGTATCTAAATGTGGGGAGATTCAGGCTTCATGTCAGTTCCACAAGGGAGATCAGATTCTGGCTGTCAATGATCTGTTGACAGACACAGTGGAGGAGGTACAAACATACCTAAGAAGACTCAGCAAGAGCGAGGTAGTCATGAGTCAAAGTACAAGAATGATATTGTAAATGTAATCAGAGCTACAATATGGCTATAGTTGAACTTACACTTTTTTGCTCTCGCTCCAGGTAAAACTGACCATTCGAAGGCTCCCAGACTCCATTCCTCTGCATTCCGAACCCTGCTAAAGGACAAAAACAAAATCTCATGCTGTGCTACTGTTCTTCTTCAGCATTTTTAATCCCTTCAGTTCACTTTTAAAATCAATGTGAACATTTCTCATGCATTTTTTCTCTATGGGGAACAGCACTGTGCTGGCAAACAGTAGACAGTCATTTAAAACAGAATGAGCTCATGAAAGTGTTGTAATGTAGTATAACTTCTAGTCTCTCTTTTAGTGATTTATGAAACTGCTATTTATGATTTGTTAGTGCCAGATCATGCAGTCTGAAAGTATTGGTTTTCACCCAGCCCTGGGGGTCAACAGTAAAACAAGTAGCTCTTGTTTTCTTGTGTGCACCAAGACTTGCTGAGCTTTTGTCATTCTAAAAAAATTATCAAAGTAATGGCTTGCTATAATTGTCATTTTGCACTATTCTGTACATCAGCAAGGTTGAGGTAACAGAAACATTTACAAGTTTTAATAGAACTTTCCTCTAGCAGTAAATAAATGGTAGATAGCGTTACAGATAGGTTGAGCAGTACTTTACTGAGCGGTTTTTCTTAAACCTGTGAATCTGTGAACTGAAATTGCATTTAACTGCAGTATATTTTGTAGCCACACGGTAGCATACTAACACAAACTGAATTATATTAAAACATAATCTTATATTCTTATAACCTGAATTCTGATTGCTCCTGTTCAGCATATAAATTCACATCTAAGTATCTTTTATTATATTATTTTGGCAAAGAATGTGTTTTTATAAAACTGACGGCTGCATTATTGCAGTTGCATTGAAACTTGTCATGTTGGTAGCAAATCCAAATGTTTTTTTTTTCAAATTGAAATGAGGTTCAGATATTCTAATAAATACATGTAAAATGCTATACAAATTTTTTTTTTTTTTTTTAAAAAGACTGTTCAGCATTTAATAACTTTTCTTACGAAAAATATATCATCTTGTACATGCACAAATATGAAACAAAAATGTGATTAAGAGAACAAGATTATTATTGAAATAAGTGTAGAGTGGATATAATTTATTTCCTTTAGAAACACTTTAATATATAAAAATGTCAAGAGTAAAAAAAAAAACTCCTAAAATAAGAGGGCAAATGTGGTCCATTCAAGCATTAGCCACTGGCCATTCATAAAAGGCAATAGAGGCAACACTATTAGCCATCACACAACCAGCACTTAAAAAGACAGGCTTTTTTTTTTTCAAATGTGAGAAGGCAGTCCAAAACTCTCAAATTTGAAATGGTCCACTGAGTAATACAGGTCCAATCAATAAAGGCACCGTTTGACTGTTTGGCCAAAGGTTTGATTGTGGATGTCAGTTTACTTTATAGCCTTGTTCCACAGCTTGAGTTTCTCAGGGCACATGATTGAGCGGAGGTTTCTGGGTTCAGTCTGCCACTCACGAAAGAAGCCCTCCATGGCTTTCCTGCTCCTCGAGCTGCCCACATTCACCGTGGGAACGATCTTTTTCGGCTGCAGCCACTGCACAAAACACTTCAGCTCAAGAAAACGGCTGTGCTCACTGTAGGGAATACCTGGAACAGGTAAGTATAAAGTAGGAAAGTATCTCTCAAAATATTTGACATGCTGGGAAAACCTATTTATATCGTAATCTCCTTGCCACCGTCAAAATTCTGTAGACCAACCATGATTTCTGCTGCTTGAGCGGAGTCATATTCTAGCCTTTTGTATAATTATTTCACAATTATATAGTGTCTTTGTGTAAAGTAACAAGCACAAATTCCCATTAATTCCCACGTTTGACATCTCAGATTTCAGTGGAGCTTGTGAAATAAGATGCATCTACTGCTTGAGGCAGCACACGATTGGGCAGCAGACCGCTGATATTATGAAATTAAAACCCTGGTCTTGCAAATCCTGACATCTTGAGTTTTTCTCTGGGTCAAATCACATCTGCTGATTCTGTTAATACAGGGCATGCTGTTTTTAGCCTGAAACGACATTCATCATTTCTAACAACTGCAGGAAGGGAGAAAAATCAATATAATGTAATTACATTCCACATACAAAGCCATTAGGTAAAATCTTGTCATTTAGTGGAACAGAATGACAAGGCTGTGTTGTGTCTACACTGAAAATCAGTTCTATGGAAGGCAATCCTCTTTAAGATCTTAAGAAGGGATGGTGTGACAGATATCAATAAAAAAAATATCATGTTTTCGGCATTTTTGTTTTATTAGCATAGACCTACCAGTAAGCAAAATGGAGAAAACCTATTAAAGTGCCATAAAACTGTCCATCATAGAAGCAAGCAAATGAAGCAATATGATAAGGTGTTTTTTATTCGCTTTTTTAAACGTCTTATTTCCATTTTGATTTAAAAGGATGACAATAATACAAACTCATTCACCAGACAAAATAGAGGGTATTTTTTTCCTCTTATAAAATCAAAATGCAAACAACACAATTTGGTTTACATCTGCTTCCCTTGATTAGGGTTTGTTTGGAATTGCAATTTAAGTTTCACGGGAAGCGACACAATTTTCTAAAAATATTAGAAGTAAAGGCAGCCCTACATGTGCGCTACTGGCTGATTTTGCCGAAAACCTTTCCCGTTAATGTCAACATGCCAGACACATAACAGGCAGTCTCAGATATTTCAATTGTATTGTAGTATCTGCACTTAAACACTTGCTATAGTGAATCAGATAAGTAAAATCATTATATTAAATCCTTTATAATCTAAACTGACACATACCGTAGATACTGATGCTCCCCTGAGTCGGAGGCTGGATGTCTTCCACTCTTACACTTTGGTTGAAGGTCCAGCCCGTGGGCTTGAATGCCACTAGCTGGTCATACTTCCTGGAGAACTTAATAAAGTGTGTCCGTAGGTTCTGTACAGTTAAGAAGAAGAAGAAAAAAAACACCTAAATCCATTTAAGCTGATTAGCTTGAGCTGTTGCTCCTCTTTAAAGTTATTTTGAATAAATATGTCTGCAAATGTAATAAGTGTAAATGCGAATATACTCTTCCATTCAAAAGTCTGGGGTCAGTATTTTTTTTTTTTTTTAAGAAATTACTTTTATTTAGAAATAATTTATTAAATTGATCAAAAGTGACAGCAAAGAGATTTAAAATGTTTAAAAGGATTTCTATTTCAAAAGGCTGTTCATTTGAACTTTCCATTCAAATTATCCCAGTTTTCACAAAAATATTAAGCACTAAGCAGCACAATTGTTTTCGAAATTGACAATAAGAAACGTTTCTTGAGCACCAAATCAGCATATTAGAATGATTATTGGATCATGTGTTAAAATATATCAAAATTGACAAGTTATTTTAAATTGCGAGAATATTTGACTATTATAGTTTTAGCGCATTTTTGATCAAATAAATACAGCCTTGGTGTGCATAAGAGTAGGGCTGGGTATTGACAAATTTCACGATTCGATTCAATTCGATGAGAGTCAGTTGGTACTACATTACTATTACTAAAGGTTAAAATTAACTGATTTGTATACAAACACTTAAATTACAATCAAAGTTTTACTAATAAATTTATGATACTAACTTTGCAATTGAAAAACATTAAACATTTAAGTGGTGGCTGTCATAAAAACTTGATGGATTTATTCAAACAAATTAATTTGAAAATTAATTTGAAATCTGAGACTTTGTTTCATATCAAAAGTAACAAAACGCAAAGCTTTTTGCGCTTTTACTTCGGATTTAAAAATCATTATTGTTTAGTAAAAATGAGAATCAATTAACATTTAGAAATCTTTTTTTTTTTTTTTTTTACCCAGCCCTACATAAGAGACTTTCAAAAACAAAAAAATCTTACTGACCCACAACTTTTGAATGGTAGTATGTAGCAAAATTTAGGAAGCCAAGATGCCACATTGCAATCAACTTCTTTCACTTTACATAATGACTTTTCAATGTCGCTGCATAAGAAAATGAGGTGCAATCTACAATCAACCTTGCCCTGAAATTTTTCCTCCTTTCTGTCATGGTCATTTAAACATGTTTCTCATTGGGAACAACTCTGCAATTGCTCTGAATCAACATCTACATTGGCATGGGTGAGAAAAGTTGCTTATAATGGTTCAGGGCACATCATATGATATGACTAATCTTTATTATCTGCAACTGTCTCATTAGAATTTACTTTTAATCAGACTCAATCAGTGCTACCGCTGCCAGAACTGCTGTGCACGCACTTTATCGCTGTAATTAGAAACTTACTTTTTTTCCCTCCCACATTAGCATAAACGCGCTGTAAAGGAAAATTAAAGATAACACAGAATGCTGCATGAATTTTAAACTCCAAATTGAATAAGTAAATATAGCCCCATTGATTGTGTTTAGCATAATCAGCTTTTTTTATACACTTATGAACTCAAACAGCAAAAATTGCAGATGACAGAAATTGCATTTCATAATGTATAACTCACAGATATGACAAACAAGCTGCAGAAGTTTTAAATGTAGTTCAACTCACTTTGAAATTGAGCTGCATCATAGGAAGTGCATGCACCTGGGCCGCCTGCCAGTCTGTAGTGATGCGCCGGCCAATCTTCTCTGACTCCAGGCAGCACATGGTGTTATACTTATCCTTGGACAAACACACTTTAGAGCCCAACACTTCCGATACAGCTAAAGGGAACAGGTGGGACAGGTTAAAAATAAATAAAAATTATATATCTCTATATACACAAGAAGGGACGAATGAAAAGTAGTCTATTGGGATTTGGAAAGAAGTTGCAATCCATTGAGACAGTCAAGAGAGACCAGTCCACAGTGGGACACTATGTAATCAGAGCTTTAAAATTAATCATGGATGCATTCTTTTAACACAAAGCCAGTCAGACAAACTGTGGAACAGGAACAATTTCTGTCAAGTCAAGTCTTTTTTAAACTCTTTTATTTTATACGAGCTTCATTCATGAGCGAGTATAACGGTCACAGATAATAGAATAGCGAACAATCCTACAAAAGGTCTGGACAAGGCAGGACGACTTTGCTCACTGACCTAGAAAGACCTTCTCTTTCCCAACT